GTGGTCTGACAGACTTGTAGGAAATGGACAGTTCTGAGCATCAGCACAAAGGCTGATGCTGGTTAAACCCAGCATGTATGTAAAAGACGCACAACTGCCACACCCTCTTTGACAGAAAACTAAGCTTTCTCCTCAAAAATAGCAACCAAAAAACACCACACTGATTGTACTGACAGATAAGAAATGGTATACCAACATCAATTAAAATTATAATAAATTAGAGATACAGCACCCAGAAACAATCATGGTGTCCACTGCAATTTTTAGTCAGTCACACAGTGCCCCAAACCAGAGAAATACCATCACCTTCAGTAGCAGAAATCATAATCACAAAGACATTACATTCCAGTATCTGAAAAACTATCAACTTCAATTTCTTGCACTTCTCCTAACAAAAATCCTCACCATGCCACTGTAAAAGCTTGTGTTCAAACTGTGTTATGTTTACAACATCAGTTTAGCACTTAGATTAACAGGTGATATAAAATTTTTTACCCCCTTGGGGTTTTGCTGGCCCATACCAACATTGCTGCCACTGCACAGCTACAGTTAAATGTCTACTGAATATTATCCTGTAACTCCCAGTGATTTTCTGAACTCAGAGGATGTAAAATACAGAGTTCACACCTCAGGATGCAAACTCATCTGTGGCCTTAACCACAGCAACTCTCTACTATAAATCAGGACTAAAACCAGTTTGTCTGCCAGCATATAACCTGGTTTACATTGAAAAATTATGATGAAATGACAAAGGACCTAATCTTACTTTCACTGAAGTCAGTAGCAGAACTCCCACTGACTTCAATAAGAGCAAAAGCCAACAGTAGATCTCCAAAAATGATTATTATTCTCTTCAGAGCACCATATGCATTTCTTATCAGCCCCCTGCAGAAGGATGATGGTGTCTTAGCTTTCCTTTAATATTGCCTCATAGAAAAGCATCTCAGACTGTCAGCACTGATCTAACCTCTATGACCACCTGAGGAATACAGTATGACCTCAGCATATAACCTGAAGAAAAGAATCAAGCCCTGTGGAAGAAGAAAGAGGCATACCAGCAGTAATGACTCAGAGATAACCTTGTAACTAATAAAAAAAGGTCACTGCTATATTTTAAGGAAATCTTGTTTATTGTGTAGAGAGGAATAGATGCTTATACATCTAAGATTCACAGAATAGTATTTGCTTTTATATATACAAGTATTTTGATATTTCGCAGGGAATTTGCAAGAAGAATTTCAATCAAATGGAAAACTATATTCTGAAAGTCATGCAGAAATACATTTTGATCCTCTCTGGGTTAAAAAAAAAAGAGTAAAAGAGAAAACTTTGTTACACAATTAAAGCCACTTGTCATATGTTTAAGCATAAAAATTGTATGTGGCCTTTTTGGAACTGCAGAAGAAACAAATGTCAGAATGGCTTTTGAACAGAAAAGGGTGATATAAAAGTAGTTATGTAGTTAATAGACTTTTCACAAGATTTAACAAAAGTAACAAGACAGAACCTGCACTTTTCAAGTACCTTTCCTCTTTAAGTCATTTAGAAGCAGTCAGAGCGAGCATTAGTATTTAATTCCTGAATCTAGTATAAAGGAAAACTTAAAGATCATATACTCAGACACTTTAGTTTTGACCATGGTATGCAGTTTCAAACCTATGCCATACCAAATCCAGTAAGAATCTACTAGCTATGCTTTCCTCTTAAGTGAGCTGACAGAACACCTGGCAGCTGCTTGCTGGGACAAACTTCACACAGAAAGCAACAGTGCCTGATTCCTATTGCACAGGCCGGGATTCAGGTAAATTTGCCTTGCCTGCTACACAGTAAAGAGCAGCTTCACTGCAGTAGTTACAGGTGCTAGTTATGGGTTTGGCCATTAAGGCATTCTTCCAGGAAGACACACATAGCACCTGAACCTGGGCCTTTCCCATTCAATAGTTGTTTGCACAGAACTCAACAGAGCACATAAAGTACGACTTGGAATGGGAAGCTCTATTCAGATTGCCTGTCATTCCTTTCCCAGTGCAAGCAATTCATTCACCAATGAAACTGTATAGAAGAAAAAAAAAAAAAAAAAAAAAAAAGAGAGTGACCATTGCTACCTGGCCACAGCAGAGACAATACAAACCATTAACATACCTCCTTTGGAAAGAAAAAACATTAATACTTTAGTTACTGCTCAGCTAATTAACCCATGCTACTGACAAGTGTTCATCAGAGTAAGATTCTGCATATATCCATTTCCTACTTTTCTGTATCAACAAGAGATCATCACAGCACCTTGCTGAAGCATCCTCCTGCACAGAGGTACTCTTTGCCCTGAGCCATTGTACATTTTACAGGTGTCCTAACTTGTATAATTGCAATATAGGTGCCCCCAGTTTTCTCCTTCTTTGCTGAACAAGATTGAAAAGATAAAGCAGTTGCCCTTTCTTGAGCAGCTACTTCACAGTACATCAGAGGTAGAAGGATAATTCAATTCCATACAATTTTTATAGAAGTGAATTACTAAACAAATCAAGGTTTTCCTCCAATATGAAATATGGCTATCAAATAAAAGTGGATTCAAGTAATCTGCAAGTACTGTACCTCCCTCTGCAGTCAGTATGTAAGTTGTGCAAATACATCTGCAAAATGAACTCTTGCATATTCCCTACAAAGATCAGTATGTCAATAAAGAAAACCTCTACAAGTTAAAACCCATAAATAATAACATTTTTATATTATCTTACTTGTTGAAATCAAGGAACACAATATGGAAACTTAAATTCTTCATGTAAGTGCTATGCCTATTAAAGGATGGGGAAATGCATGGGTTTTGCTGCTGTTTCAGAAAGGGTGAGATTCCTTGATACTTCTGGCACTTACTCTCTTGGAACTTGACAGAAATTTGCAATGTCCCATTCTAAGAGTGTTTTCCTGTTACTTCTAATAAATATCCAAAATAAAGTGCATTTTTTAAAAGTTACATTAACTGATCCATCAATGACAGAGAAGTATATTTTATAGTTCACCTATTGCATCTTTATTTAACACTATTTATAACCTTAATAGAGCCTTTTACCAAGATTTGTACAGCATCAACTTCTTCACATATATACCCTGAGACAGCATTATTTTCCCTGTTGAATTGTTAGAGAACACTTGACACTTACCCTTGGGCCAGCTGTAGATATTTGCTAAAATGTAACTCCTTAACAGGCCTTTTTTCTTTTTTCTTTTTTTTTTCCAAACCTCACCTACTCTCTGTATTTGTTTTATAACCTCCTTGTTGAATACTAGGTATGTGTTTAACTTTACTCAAACAGTAGAAGTTCATCACTGACAATAATGAACAGTTAAGGAGCCAATTCACATGAGCAAGTTTTACACATATGATGAGGGCTCTAGATGTTGACATAACTTCAAGTATCTGTTCAAGTAGATAGCACTGTAGCACATAATACCTGAGGGGATACAAAAACATACAGCACTGCGCTACTATATTTCTGTAAAACAAGTCTCAAGTAACTAACTTACTACAAGTTACCAGGTTCTTCTGCTGTAGTGTGACATCTGTCCTTCACATTTTAGTGTCTGAACACTGTTGCAAACTAAGTTACTCACATTATGGCCAGCTGTCTCCTTAACACTGGTAGCATCACATTACAAAACTCAGAACACCTTTATTCCAACTTAATTTACATCTGCTTTTTCCCTTGGACATGTGAAAACAGTTTTTTAAAATAATTATCAGATCTTGCAATATTTTTCTTCTGCTAAAAAACTTTGTGCCTTACGGCAAGAGCATCTCACCATTAAAATACAGAAGACTAAACTGCATTTTCTACTGCACACAATGAAAACAATGAAGGCAAATGAATGTCATTTATTTATTTTTAAATCAAAATTAAGCTTTTGAAGATCCATTCTTCTGCTCTCACCAGAGGTCTGCAAGATCCTTGTATCACAAACACTCAAGACAGAGTACTAACAGCACTTCATGTTTTGTTTGATAGGATTCGTCTTTGCTCAGGCCAATACCAGCCTGTTCAAAATAAAAGTCTGTTTCCATCACATTAGGTAGAGGGGTCTCTCCCTGGGAAAGAAGATCCAGAGTTAGAGCTGCAAAATAGTATTATTATCTATTTGAAAAATTAAATCTGTTATCCACTGAATGTTATACTTCACTTTCCTGTAGCACCACTCATTCTCTCAAAGTGCTTTGTGGACATGCATTCCACTATCATCGAGAAAAATTAAAAATAGGCGATAATTTTGAGCGGAGCTGACGGCGACGGGAGGGGCGGTTGGGTGCCCCTGGGCCGGGCCGGGCCAGGCCATGGCCGAGCCTCCCGAGGAGTCCCCGCCGGAGGGTGTCCCGCGGGAAGGCCCCGGGGAGCACTTGGAGAGCGGAGACAGCCCCGACCGGCCCGAGCCGTACGCTGCCCACCCGGCTCAGTGGGGCCCCGGGCAGCCACCTTCTGAGGGCTTCGAGTCTGAACGAGACCCTTATCAGCCTCAGCAGTCGGAACCGGGACCAGTTTTCTTATCAATACCAGGGGGTAAGGCGAAGGAGTCAGCCACAAGGACCCGACCAAGACCCCTACCAAGCACAAGGCCGAAGAGGATGTGTCGGCCAGACCCATGCACCAGGAGAAGCACTGTAGCAATCCCAGACCCCAATTCAACACCACTGCGATCTGCAGAGAGCAGAACATGGCTCTTACAAGCTGCAAGTGCCAGCAGTAGACATCGGCCAGAGATCCACGCTGGTACAGGACTCTCATCAAGCATCCGAGGCAAGGCAAAGCGTGTGTCAGTCATATGTGCTAGGATTAGACCCTTCCCAAACACAGGAATCAATAGCTGCCTATCAGACATATACAGTAGGACAAGATCCCTATCAAGCCTATGAACATGGGCATGGCCCCTCTCAGACACATGAACCAGGTTATGGTCTTTATGAGCCAAGATACAATCCATATGATGATCAGATACCCCATCCCGAATCCTGAATGCTGGCAATTGAGAATGCAAAAGCCACTTTACTGAAGAGCAGCACAACATCTGGCCTGAACTTGTAAGTCTGAAAAAGGGACACAACTGAAAGGGGTAGGAAGTATGAGTGGAGAGAAAAGCATTGTTGGTAAAAGGGCAAAGGGTCATGCTAAGAAAGTGAGGGATACCAGGGGGTTATATATAGAAGGGGGGAATATGTTATAAATGCACTAGTTCATTGCTATGTGATACTTATATGTGTCCAGCATCTTTCTGAATCAAAATTCCTAAGGGAATTTATTATAGAGTTAAAAGGGAAACTAATTTGATTAATAGCAGGTTTAAAATCGGCTTCAGCTCCTGTGGCAGATACAGTGTATACCAAAAATGGAAGATGAGACTACTCCTAAGTATATTACAAAATCAGGCTAGTTTCAAGACTAATTTCTCATAATACTCCATGATCCCCTTTCATCTAACTGTTCCAACAATTTCTCCAAAGATCCAGGTGATTAGAGACTACTTTTGGTATCAAAAGCATAATATTCTAAGACTCTTTTATAGTAAGCCAATAATACTTATATGACAGATATGATCATCTTGCTAATGTGCTTACAAACATCCTGGATGAACAGCCCAAAAATGCAGTAGACATAACTGAGAATATCAGCAAGGATGTGAAATGGGCTCACTTTCAGAAAAAAATGGACACTCTTCAAGATGAACATGAGATTCTTCCAACATTTGAAGCTGCAGAAAAGCATAAAGCTTTGTTCCTCAAGGCAAATGGGGAAGGAGATGAAGCACTAGAAGAAGAGATAGTGAGTTATTATCAGGGAAAAACAGATATTGTATATACCAGAGAATGGGTGAGATGGAGGGAAGGGAAAGAAGGGAGGAAGCTGTGGTCTCCTTTATAGTATTGCTTCTCATGATCATATAAATAATTGCAGCCACAGTACTATGTACGCTCTTCATAGTTGAGTTGGTCCCATGTCTAGTTGTGAAGAAAAAACCCCCATCTGGTTACTTAGTTGGGATTTTTTCCTGTAGTAGATCTAATATCCTGAGCCTTTAAAATCCTAGATGTTCCAGAGATGATGAACAGAAAATAAAGTTTACAATATCTCCCATATGCCCGTTCAGCAGGTAATATTGCATCCAAATTTCTTTTATCTAAAAGTAACATTTCTTTACCTAAAGTGACCCTAATTCTGGACATCAGTTCAAGAATATTGTGCACAGCAGCTACTGTAAAATAGAGAATGGAGAATTTTGTGATCCTTCCAGCTCCAGATGTGGTTCCAGTATGTTCTTCTCCAACTAAAAAAAAAAAATGTTTATAATGAAGAACTACTAGAATAGGAAATTCACTTCTTAAAACAAGGTATTTTTCAGTATTCAGTTGCTTATATGCAGAAGCATTCATACCCAATGAAAAGTTAAGACAATTCTTATAATAACCAAGGGAAACTAATCAACAAGATGTTGATTTTCATATGAAGTTGCCAGTACATATTAAAAATGAATTGCCATTGCAGAATACAAATACTAACAGCAGAAAAGATAGTGTCTTTAATCTTTTTCCATAGACTATTACTTATTTTACAGTAACAGCATACAAAAGTAAAAATGGGAAAAAAAGTAAGGTACTTCTGAAAGGAATTTAGATTTTTTTTTTTTATTCCTGTCTATCTTGCTTTCCTATAAGAAACCTGGAAGGGCCAAAGAAATTCCATACGAAACTAGTACAACTCCCAAATTCCCTACCCTGCCATGTACAACTTCTAGTATCTTTGTCTGTGTGATATAGTCACCTACCCCCATGAAATGTGAGAAGGGTGATAAAGCGAATATAAATACTTAATGAAATCTTGGTTATTGGCGTAATTCTGCTTCCCATGAAGACAGATGGAGTCTTATAATGGACTTCAGTAACAGCAGGGGCCAGTATTTTAAAAGATGCAGGTAGCTTTTTGTCAGGGTTTCCAAAAGAACATTTACTCCTGAGAAATTTTGCTGGTCCAGTGTCTAAATATATAAAATATGTGTTACATTTTCCCCAAATGCATCTGCCACAAACACAAGGAAACACAGTGACACTGTTTGCAGGCATCACGGGCCTCTTACATAGCTGACATGCCCTAGCACTGAAGTTCTTTGTAGATCCTGTGTAAGAATTCTGATTTCACTTACTTTGCAGTAATTAGGAGTTTGAATTTTGAATCCTGTATTTTAAAATCTGTGTTCTCTACCTGTAAAATGGTATTTTTAATTTTTCTCGATGATAGTGGAATGCATGTCCACAAAGCACTTTGAGAGAATGAGTGGTGCTACAGGAAAGTGAAGTATAACATTCAGTGGATAACAGATTTAATTTTTCAAATAGATAATAATACTATTTTGCAGCTCTAACTCTGGATCTTCTTTCCCAGGGAGAGACCCCTCTACCTAATGTGATGGAAACAGACTTTTATTTTGAACAGGCTGGTATTGGCCTGAGCAAAGACGAATCCTATCACATATTCCTTGCCCTTAAAAAACTAATTAGTGTTCAGCCAATCCAAAGCTGTCGCTTCTGGGGCAAAATTTTGGGCCTGGAGATGAACTATATTATAGCTGAAGTGCAGTATCATGAAGGGGAAGAGGAAGAGGAAACAGAAGAGGAAGAAGTTACTGAGGAGGGAGGGAAAGAGACAGGTGAGGTTGAAGATGAAGATGAGGAGAATGAAAAAGAAGACAAACCACCAAAGTCCACCTATAAGCCCCCACCTGTCATCCCAAAAGAAGAAAATGGGACTGGGGCTAATAAATATGTCTATTTTGTCTGTAATGAGCCAGGCAAACCCTGGGTAAACTTGCCTCCAGTGATGCCAGCTCAGATTGTCTGTGCCAGGAAAATCAAGAAGTTCTTCACTGGTAGGCTGGATGCTCCTGTTGTGAGCTTTTCTCCTTTCCCTGGAAATAAGGCCAATTACCTGCATGCGCAGATAGCTCAGATCTCAGCAGGAACCCAGATCTCTCCCATTGGATTTTACCAGTTTGCAGAGGAGGAAGGAGAGGAAGAGGAGGAGGAGGGAGGAGAAAGAGACACATATGAAGAATACTCTGATTTTCAGCCTCTTCATGTGACTGAAATGGTGGATTCTCTCTCCACATAGGTACACCACATACAGGGTATTCTAAAGCAGGTATGTTCTGGCATAGCTCACACTGACCTTGGATACCATTCACACTGTAGTACTCGTAGGGTTTCAGAAGGTAAATGTCTCTCCTCACCTGCACATTTGAATGGGAAGATTGATGACACGGACTCCGATGTTAAGATGGAAGACCCTTTATTATTCAGAAAGCTGCGTTTTTATCCCCCTACAAAGTTGTCCATGCCCCCAGCAAAAGTGCTTACCATACATTACTCACACATCTATTCTAACATTTGATTGGCTAGCTTAACTATGCATGTCATTTTTTCCCTTGTCACAATGACTTGCTTTTTTACTTTTTTTGCTCCAGGCATTAAGTCCTCTGTTGTTCACTGATAACTTCCTTATTTTTCTGTTATTCAAAAACCTTATTTTCTGTTATTCCAAAACCTTGAAGGTCTGTTGTTATCTTATTTTTCTGTTATTCAAGGTCTGTTGTGACCTTATTTTTCTGTTATTCAAAACCCTTATTTTTCTTTTATTCAGAAGCCTCCAAGGGCATCATGGCCTTCGTTGACGTAAAATGTCTCCACATTTGAACTATTCACCAGAAATGGTATTGGACTGAAATATTTTTCTGCAGAAAATATGTTTGATATAGTATATAGTGTATAAATATGCTGTACATATTTACATATGTTATATATCTATATGTGTGTATATATATATATTTAGGAACCTTCTAGGTTTAGTACTTTTTTCATTATGTGTTCTTGAGATCGAAACATATCTTTAGGTAACAGTATGGAGTTAGGCCTTGATAGATAACAAAAATTTCTTTTAATCTTCTATATTAAGTTTTCTCTTTTGAAGTCTTTACTTGACAAAAATGTTTTAAATTCTCTTTTCTCAGGTAGGGTGCTAACATGCAGATAGCTTCTGATTGCATGCTAAATGGAACCTATTTGATGTTTTCTTCTGGTTTGTTTTCTGTTGCTTCCTTTCTGCTGTGAAGCATGCAAATGAAAAAGCTTAAAAGCTTGTGATATCAGGGTAGTGCTGAAAGGAGGTATTACTAATTTGATGATCATTGCTGGTTGACTTGCTGGACAGTCTACCAATTCAAGAATGCTAGTGTAAAATAACAGCAAATGGTAGGAAATAAGGTTTAAAATTATTACCAGCAAAACAATAGTTGTAAAAATAAAATCTATGTGCATTAGAATCTTAAGAACATTTTGTTAGGTTCCTCTGGTAGCTAAATAACAAGGCAGACTTTAAAAGGAAAGGGCAAAGTCCATCAGTTAAGCATCTTAGTTTGCAGTAACTGATCATCTAGCAAGAATATAAACCAAATTGGCAAGGAACTGATGACTAACTAAAAAAAATCTTATGACAGACATATAAGGTTATTCTGAAATAGTAAACAAGGATGAGGGAGGAATGAGGGATATAGGGAACACTCTGCCAAAAGGATATAGTTCTGCCAACAATATACCAACTATGGAATATACATTTTTTTCTTCCCTCCCCCTCCCTTAACTGGGTGTGCATGTGCCTGAGCCAATTGTTTTAAGTGGCTTGCATTCTTTCAGTGATTGTTACATGTATTTATTATTTTTCTATATCAATTATAGGGTCGCTATGTTTGGCTTAATCCTTTTCAAAAATCAGAGGAGGAAGAAGAAGAAGAATAGGAAGAGAAAGCAGAGGATCCAGATGACCTACAGCAAGAAATAGGACCTCCTCTTCTCACTCCACTCTCTGAAGATGAAGGTATTCATGGAATATGAAGTTTTTGATAGAGAGCCATTAGGTATGTTGGCACTTAGGTAGTAACTATTTGAAGTTGTAGGACTCTGATGCTTCATGGAGCAATATAGTTTGTCCTTGTAGGGTAAGCACATTCTTTTACAAAATTGTTCAAAAGCAAAATGATTGACATAAAATCTGAAATAATTTGGTTTACTAGTTAACAGTCATGTTGAGAATAAAGGGAAAAAATACCTCAGACATATCAGGCTACTGCAAGTTCAAGACAACTCATTACTTTAAATACATCCTGCTATTTCTTCATCATCTTTTTAGGCAAAAATAAGTGTGTGTGCACATATAAATAAATAGATATATATGTACACACATGCATAGATACACAAATAAGAATTTAGATGCTGCAGCATATTACTGCAGCAAAGCATGGGAATATGGGAACCTGAATATTAGATTACATCATTAGTAAATTATTTTCTTACTCTCTGTTCTTTAATCAAGGTGAAATGTAACTATATAATTTATCCATAAGTGATAAAAAGTCCTTGACAAAAGAAACAGTGGTGAGTGCTATGGAAATTCAGGAGTGTGATCTTTTCTGTACGTGGCTCTGTTAGCATTCCTGTGCTACCTACCCCTATATCCAAACCACCTGTTCAAATACAGCCCCTATGTTTATTGTTTATGACTTCTGCCTCTTCTGTCATGCAACTTAATATAACCATTGCTTGAATTCTGTGAAAGGCTTGCCGCTCAGTCTAAAAATTTTGTGGAGGCTCCTAAGTCTGTTTATTCATAGACTCTGTGTGTTTGGCTGCGTCCAGGAATTCAAAAACATCCCTGCCTGGACAGCTCAGCCTTCTACAAACCTGATCCCGCAACACGCTGTTGCAGTCCTCCAGTCTAACCAATGGCCCAGAGCGTATGCCTTTGCATCTGGCAGGTGAGTAGCTAGCTGACACGGTTACAACACAGGCTATATATGCTAAACACAGACTCCTGTCTAATGAAGTCAAAGTTGCTTTATTTTTAATTGATTGACTGAATTTTAACTATTCCAGAGACTGACAGAGAAAGGCACTCAAATGTGCACAGTAACAGTAAATAAATATTTAAGACTGACAATGAATGACCATTGGAAAGTCTGGTATAAAGTTAATGGATGTAAATGCCCAGTTAGTATTTGTGCTGAGTCCTTGATTTAAACCCTCTATTCCTGAGTCTGTTGTACTTTTTAAAAAACAGCTACATGCTGTGGCTCTAAGGTCCATTTGTTTCCCCTACACATGGTACAGGCATTACCCCTCTGTGCTTTAAAACGGGCACTGGGGTTGGTGTCAGAAATGGTGCTACATTACCAATGTCAAGTTGGAGTCATAGTGCAATACAGGGCCGTGACAGAGTACAGCCTTCATCATGTTAGCACTTGGAGGCTTTTAAGTGGAAGATATCTTAATCAACAGTTACAGCAGGTAAAATGAGGTGCACCACAGTGACTTTTTGCACAGCACAGTAAAGAAGCCTGACAGTGTCTCCACTGATGGTTTGTCATGGGGAGAACGTGTGATCTTTCACTTTACTTTCTCAGGAAGTTTGATAACATCCACTTTGGGTGGGGTCACAAATACAGTCCAGAGAACCACACTCCCACACGGCCTCCACCAGCGCAAGCAGAATGCCTCAGCGAGCCAGACATCACTGAGAAGAAGAGACCCCTCTCTGGAGGAGGATCTGTCTTTCAAGGCTGTGAAGGAAGCAGCCTTAGCTGCAGCTTAGGAAGATGAGAAAGATGATGAGGAGGATGAAGAGGAGGAGGAGGATTAAAATATGGGGAACATATATATTTAAAGTTCAAACATGAGTAGAATTTTCAAGAAGTAGTCATTCATTAGTTGACCTTAAAAGAAATGCAATTGGAGCACAGCCGCCTTCTTTGGCTTTCCGTAGGCTCTCCTTTGCTTTCCCACCGCGCTGGGGTGAAGGCTGCATCGCTTTCACTGGAAGACACCCCAGCGAAGTAGCCCTTTTTTAGAAGGGTAGGCAGACATAGCCTGCTTCTGTGTCCTGAAATAATCCTGCTTTAAACTAATTAACTACCATCCACCAAACGTTCACGCAGTTTTTCTAACTCGCACTTCATTACCTATATAAATTTTACTCAAACAAAACAAAACCAAAAAAAAAAAACTTAATTACATACCCACGACACTTTTCTGTGTGACAGCCGACCCTAGAAAGTCAGGAGCCAGGTGACGGAGCTGCCCCCCCCCCCCCCGCCGCAGCCCCGGCCGGCACCATGGCAGGGTGTGTCGCGTGAGGGCTCTGGGGCTGCTCAGCGATCGATCTCTCACTACGCGCTCCCTGCTCCCCCTCCGCCAGCCGTTGGCGAGTGGTACGCTCCGCCGCGGTGTCCGCCCTCGCGCGGGCCAATAGGAAGCGGCCTCGGGAGGCGTTTAAATTTCGGTGGCAGTTGGTCTGCTGCGTTGCTCGTCTGGGTGCCGGCGGCCTGGGAAGGAGCGGGCCCGGGCCCGGGCCCGGGCGTGCGGCCGCGGGGATGGCGGACGAGGGAGCCGTGACGGTCTGCGTGCGTGTGCGGCCGCTCGATCGCCCGGTGAGGCGCTGCCCGGGCGGGAGGGCCGCGCCCGGGCCCCCGGCCTGAGGGGAGGCTGCCCCGCGGTCCTCGGCGTCCCGCCGCCGCCCTGAGCGTTGCCGTGCCCCCCCCCTCGCTTTCGGCTGGGCCCCTGCGAGCGCGGCTGCCGACCTACGGAGATGGGGAGGCGGGGGCGCGAATGGTGGAGAAAGGAGAGAGCCGGGGCTGGCGAGGGCCGGCCGGTGGGGGCAGGGGCGCTGTTACAGGAGCAGAGCCCTAGCCGGGGAAAGCTAACAGAAGATATCTTCTTTTAGAGAAAGTGCTCTAGAAGATAAAGTGCCGCTCCACTGGAAAAGTGAAAATAATACTATTTCCGAAGTGAATGGTACAAAAGTATTCAATTACGGTAAGAATATGAAAGCGGTTCTTTTATTTTGATGCTTACGTGAAACTTTGTTACTGTGCTGCTTGAACATAGCAACTAACATCAAGACCTTAGCTTTCTGCAATGTCCATGAACTGTTTTCCCAACTTGATAGTTTTGGCGGCATGCCGCTGGGGCACACAGGATTTCTAGTTTAGTCAGTACCAGGAACGTGCTTCTGAAGTCAGCTTCCCGGTGGATGTTGCTTTCCCTTTTCTGATTTATGCTGTAAAGCAGTTTCGAAACATGTGATCTGGATTCTTTCCATATAAATTCCAGTTACAGATGGACTAGATTAGGGCTAGTCCAGACCTTTTTGGGGAGAAAAAGGTGGGGGAACCCAAAATGGAAAAGTGCCTACTGTAGACGTTAGAGCCTCATAACTAACTGCTTTGCTCTTTTTAATATGAATGTAGTCACTGTGAAGATGTTTCCCAAATTATAAATTTAATAAAAACACGCTGCAGACAAGTTTTTAGCAAATAATCTATTTTGTCAGGTTTACAATCTTCATATATAAACAAGCCATAATTGTTTTTAGGAGTAAATGGGATGACTATTTAACTGTGTCAATCATTCTGAAGTTTTTTTGACTTGTCTGTTTGTTCATTGTTCCTTTCTTGGTTCTGGGTTTAATGTTTCTTTTTTAAAAAAAGCCTGAGTTAGTAGTGTCACAATTGCATTTTATTTTAATCATCCTACAAATGATCTAATTCCCCACTTACTGGATTTGAAATCAGCAATACTGAGTAAGGTGACAGGCTATTTTTGACTTGGCAGTACAATGGATTCACATGCTTTATTTCAATTTTACTTTTTTAAGATCGTGTCTTTCACTCAAGTGACAACACTCAGCAGTTATATGAAGGGGTAGCTGTTTCAATTATACAGTCAGCTGTGCAAGGTTATAATGGTAAGTTTTAAAACTGTGTTTAAATCCTTTTTGTAGTATATTTCACAGGTGATTAGTAAAATTTAACAATCTTTCCAGGCACAATTTTTGCCTATGGACAGACTGCTTCAGGGAAGACGTACACAATGATGGGAAATGAAGATTCTGTGGGCATTATCCCTAAGGCTATTCAACATGTTTTCAAACTTATTTGTGAGGTGAGCAATTTCATTAAACTGAAGTGACTGAAAGGACTAATAATATTTGTGATTGTTACCTAAAACTTAATTTTTAGTATCAAGGTGCTTATGAGGGAAATAAATTTATATTAGACCATGTGTTGCAATTGCTTTGCTAGCCTTGCAAAGATGAGCGGCTTAAAAAAAAAAAAAGATAATGGGACTCTCAGTTGGAATCAAATCAGTCAAATCAGAACAGCACTGAGGGGGGTTGTTAAACTTGCAAATATACTAAACCTTTATTACAGGTATAAACAGATGTTCAGTCATTAATGTAGTAAATAAGGTTATATGAAGCTTTGTGTTTATTCTGCAATTTTAAAACTTAAAAAAAAATAACAGTAATAGAGACTTTTTTAGTGGAAAGACTATGACACTAAATTTACCTATTTCAGGCTTTCAAAAGAATCTTAGGCTAATTGCTCAATGCTAATAGGAAGTAAGGATAAAGTATAAGTTAAAACAGTGATTTCTAAAATGTTACCTGCAGAGCACTTCCTTCTGCCTTGAGGATTTCAGGTAATCGTTATCAGTGACATGAAATGGTCACTGCTCCTTTGAGGAAGTGCAGAGTACCTTAGGGGGTCTACTAAACCTGAGAAAACTTCCCATGGTGCTGTAGGCCTTGAGTCCATTGTGCGGCCTTTCCTCATTCTACCAAGGACGCAGGGGAAGAAGCAGCAGCAGCAAAGTAATTGAAGCAAGCAGAGAGAGAGGACTAGGTATGCATAAAGGGAAGAGCCTAAGCAGGAGGAAATTAGATATGGCAAGGGCATTTAAGTTCTAGAGCTATTGTCACACTTCTTTAGGGCAGTTATCTTTTATAACCTACTAAAGGTGATAGACCATCAATGCAGCTGGAATGAGGTAGGATAGAAGGAAAAAGGATTCTATATTGGTGGGTGCTAAAGTGCAAAGAGAATGGCTGGGGAGGGGCAGGACAGGGAAGAGATCTGTGGAGTGATATCCAAACATACCTTTGAGTTAATACTTGTATTAAAAGGTGTTAATTGATTAGTCTGTCTTTTTTTTTTTTTCTTTGAACATTAGATTCCAGATAGAGAATTCTTGCTAAGGGTTTCTTACATGGAAATCTACAATGAAACCATTACAGATTTGCTTTGTGACATCCGGAAAAAGAAACCTCTGGGAATTCGTGAGGATGTTAATGTAAGTGTTGTGTCTGCTTGGAGTAAAAGAAATTAAAAAACAAAAACACCCCTTCAGAGGCATCTAGTTGAAAACTGTGTCAAATTGTGTAATTGTTATCTTCAGAATTAGCAGAAGGGCACTCTATGTAATAGAATAACAACAGTGAAGCTGGGCTTGCTGTTGCTGGTTTATCTTTATAAACATTTGTAAAAGTATACTTAATCCCCTAAATTTTCCAGGGGTAGTATATTTTATTTAGCTTTGGGAGTTGTCTAGCTAATAAAACTTCTGTAAGCATGTTGTTAAGCACCTAGCTTCAATGTGTTAGAAGCTTTCAACAGATGTACTGTTCCTTTAATACCATCTTCATATCATCTACGAAGTTGATAACACTTCTACTGAAATCCTAGAATAGCCATCACACTAGAACTATTCGGTAAGATGATCAGTAGGGGAAAATAAGTATATTAATGCCATCTTTGGTTTGTTTATATTGAGTTTTGTAGCAAATAATAAAAATTGGTGATTTGGCTTTTGTTTGGGTTTATTTTTCTGTCAGTGCCCTAAATGTTCAGTGTTTTGGGGACTTGGGAAGAAGGGAGACTTATCAGTTGTGTGACTATGGCCTTAGAATATTTCCTGAGTAATATACTTCTGGATTCCCTCAGAAAATATCCAGGATATTTCTCTTAGCAGTTTTATATTTAGGAAAATTTCTAGATCTCTGTTTGATTCTTGTGCCTTTAAGCTATAGTTCTGGTAAAGGTCTAAACTTCTCCATTCCTTTTGTTCAGAGTAAAAATGCATTCGGCTGATGTTGCTTCCTTTTAAGAAGGAAACAAACTGGCATAAATACCATGATAATTGCTGGTAATGTTAACTTAATGTATGGAAGTGCATTTTAGAGTTCAGTAAAATTTATTACTGTTTTTGTTCTGAAGAGGAATACCTATGTAGAAGATCTGATTGAAGAGGTGGTGGTTACCCCAGAACAAGTTATGGAATGGATCAGAAAAGGAGAAAGTAAGTTTTTTAACCAGTGTCAGCTGATACCTTAGAAAAGCATTGATGAATGGGCTATCTCTAGAATCATGGGATATCTCTGAGATTATATCCAGAAATCAGTGTTTTTCAGGTAGCTTTAAAACTCTGCTTTTTGTCTGTTATCTCTAGTTTATCAGAATATAAGCAGAGGTATTCTAATATTGCTTTTTGGCAGAAAATCGCCATTATGGAGAAACCAAAATGAATGAACACAGCAGTCGTTCTCACACTATCTTCAGAATGGTAAAAACTGTTTCACTATTAGGAGGGGTTCTATTATTTTTAGAAATTACAAATTTTATTCCACTTCTTTCTAGATCATTGAAAGCAGAGAACGAAGTGACCCTGCAAATGCAAACTGTGATGGAGCAGTGATGGTATCCCACTTGGTAAGCTCTATTCCGAGAAGTTACTGAATTCTCTACTTAAATGCCTATTTACTGTTGCCACTTTCTTGGGAGACTGTTACTTTATAATGATGCT